TTATTAATTAAATACAAAATAGATTCAGCAAATAATCGGTTTTTAAAATACATCTTCCTTGTCCAAATCCACCATAGCATTATTGTGCTGCCTACCGTAGTTGATGCAGCCGAAATTTCAGTCGGGAAGAGCCGACCTCATACTGTTAAGGCGTCTGGCATAACTTCAGTGAATCAATGCACATGACAGCTATCCTCTACCTAGAGATACGGTGTCTCATTACTTATAACTAAGAAAGATATTACTATTGAAGAGAATAAACCCATCGACTAGCACTCTTTCATCCAATGACCGCGTCCGCCAATTCAACCAGCTCACTCTGAATGTAAATTCATATATCGCGATCTCTAGTGAATCATTTGAAATCCCGTGAAAAATGCAAATCCGTCATGTTAGGTAGACCTTTTGAATAACATATTTTGAAAGAAAGATCTGGGTATATCATCTACCTGTTGTTATGAGAACTCGGTGAACCTTGATCTCACGTAGCCCTAGAATGTCCCGTCTATTTTATGATTTAGTGCTTCATAAAAAGCTTACTTGAACTTAATTGCTTTTGCCATGTTCTTGCATTAGTCCATGGGTGTTTAGATGGCCTGGCAGGGTACTTAGTCGCCTGACCGGGCGTTTCCTTTTGGAGTTGGGACCAACAAGCCTGTGCCCGATGACCGTCCGAGATTCCCGATTTCTTGGCCCTGCTGCTGCTAGCATGGAGAAGGGTGTTGTTTTAATAAGCACCGTTGTATCGTGGATCATCATTTCACCTTGCGCGACCCTGGGCAGGCCTGTGCATGGCTGCGTTGCAGTTCAGCTGAGAGCTTACTACTAATAGAATCAGTAACAGCAGATTACTTAGACCTGTTATAGAAATAGGAGATGATTGTTTCCCGGGAATGACTACACAATTTTACAACCTCATCGCCCCCCTACTAGATGCCCTTCTGGTATGCCCACTTCTCCAGAAGCTAGAACGGACACTAAGATAGTGGAGAGATGTTGGGGAGCATTTTCTGATAAATAATAACGGCATCGAAGTTGCCCGAATGCGCGCGTCGGCATCTTCCTGTCTCGGAAAGTTGGGCGACACTAACATTAGGCAGTGAGTTTTGGACTCATCAGCGGAAAAGAAACTGCAAGGGAAAATGGGCTTCCAGCCAGCCCAAACCGTAAAAGGACTTTGAGATCTCGGCATCTTACCGTTTTGGTCTTGATATATCCCGAGTTCCTTTCTCCAATGGGTCCTCCAGAATTGAAAGCCAACATGGCAAACCCATCATCATTATTAGCGTCGTCGCTAGCAACATACTGCAACGGGCCAAAATGCCTTTTCCGTTATGCGACAGATGAGTTGTCCGTGAGTGGTTCCCGGCCATGTGCAAACTCGGTATCATCCCAATTCGGCTGTATACTGCGACGCGACGAACCAAAGCACAAAATGCCTGGACAGATGGGATAATAAATGAACTGCATGTCGTTGCTCTACCGCAAACCGGCCAATCAGCCAGCCCTAATGCGCGAGCCGTGCCTTCAGGGCTTGGCATCCGTCGCGGGCAAATCGAAGCCATCGCCCAGTTCCGTGTGAGTGGCCACCAGATTGGGCTCCCCCCCCCCCCGGCAGCTGAGTCTTCTGGAACACACTGAAACGGCCAAGCCCTGTGTTTGAGGTAAAGTGGGTGGCAGTCCACCACGGCGTCCGAGAGTACAGCGCGTGAGATATCATCCCAGTTCGGGCCTAGAAGGATGCGATGCTTGTTCTGCCATGTCCACCAGAGACCGGCCGGATTACGTGAGGCGCCACGCCCGGCGTATCAGCCAGGATGGATCGTGGCGGGATTCGATCTGCGTCAATCACAGTTTATATTGCCTGGCCGAGCATTGGCTCGATTTCCGGTCCTCCTCCATGCTTCCCGCAGCTGCTCGTACATGCAACGTTGGCCGCTGGGGGCGGGACTTGAATTTCAGTCTGGATGCGTGTGGAGAAGCTGGGAAAAGGCATAACATGTACAGAGTAAGTGTTGAATCAAGACCACACGCTCGCCTCACTTATCCCATCTCTTCCTCCCATCAACAGTCAACCAGCTCGATACTGTGATGATGGGATCGGAAGCCTACAAACCTCGGTTCGACACTCTGAACGCGGCCTACTTTTCTCCCACGGCCAGCACCTCCTCCAAGGTCCCGTCCTCACCAAAGCGTCTAGACACATTCCACAAGTTCCCATGCCTTCCCGCCGAGCTACGGCTCCGGATCTTGGAGATGGAGCATCCCCAGAAGCGCCGCCAGCTCATCACCATCACACTCAAAGACGACTACAGGTTCAAGTGCAAAGCCACCAGGGAGTCGCTCGAGTCAAGCCTATACCAGAACCTGAACCATCTCGGCAACCCGGTCAGCGGCATCAAGTATCGCATAATCCTGCACCAGCGAGCGTACTTCAGCCCCCTACTAAGGGTGAACCGGGAGTCGAGGCAGGCCACCCTTCGGCATTACCGACTCCACATCCCGTTGCGCGCCGGGACTGGGAAACGGTCAGGCCCACTGCTCTACCTGAACCCGGAGTGCGATATCCTCTACCTGCAGGCCTTCAGGGTGTGCGGGTCGACTCTGGTGGGCTTCCTCCATGATCTGAGGGCGTATGATGAGCGGAAAATCGGGCTGCGCAACCTGGCACTGAATAGCCACTTCCAGGAAAACCTTGGTTTGCTGCGCTCAGTGAAGCCGGACAATCTACAGCGGGTCGAGGTTGGCTCGTTTCTTGAGACTCTTATTAACCTACGCCAGCTCTGGTTCGTCTATCTTCTTGAGGATGCAAATCGCAAAAGGACGCGGAGCTCCTACATGACGGGTGATGTCGAAACCGGGATCAACCACAGTGTGCCCATCTTCTCGGAGAGCTCCATGTTCGAATTCTTCTCCGCCGATCCCCGCTCCGTCCAGACGGATCTGAAAACGATCAAGTTCTCCGGCGCCGATCCCCGGCTCCCAATGCACCGCTGGATGAAAATGGAGAGGAGGTTCTGTGGATTTTCGGACGATTCATACAGTTCCTCAACGCTACGGAGAGAAGTATCGTTCATTCTTGCGGTGGACGCTACGGAAGACCATGAGGTCTGCATGACAAAAGGTCACGACATCTGCCAGGCGCGGGTGATACGGGACGCAAAGTCCATGGACCGATATCTAGAGAGAGAGAGGGAGTCCCTCCTGAGATTAGTTAAGCGTGAAGAGCAGTCACAGGGTAAAGCATCGGCTGCAGGCTTCTGGGTGCTCCCACAGGATGTCTTTGATGTTGAAATGATTGGAAGGCCAAACGGTGGGTTTAGTTGCGACTTGTCCGGCCACTCCCCTGCGTTAGGGCTCTTCCGACTATAGAAGGATATCAGATCATACCAAATTAATACAAATCAATGTCAAACAGCATGGTCAGTCATTTGGCACATGATAGCTAGTGTTGTCGGCTAGTTGGTGTAAGTGGTTTTCGGACATTGATGCATCTGCAATATCAACCGTATCGGGAATTCGCCGACGTTGTTTGGAGTTGATGTCGCCATTTAGGCATCAGCATATGATCCCTGATGTTCGTATCAGAAAGGGAACAGTGCCGATCCTAGTAGCGAAGGTAGGGTAGGATCGTTCCAGGAAGCTCCCAAGCTGCATATCATCCATCTCCTACGCGTTACAACCAATGCCGAGATCTTGAGGATGATGCCACCTACAAGCCAACTCCGCCCTCAGGCCAGCGCTCTATTTCATTTATTACTATACACATGTAGTATATTTCTTACTTTCGGCAGAAGCTCATTTGGTCTTTTCGAGAAGAGTCGCTTGCCACGGACCTACCTATGCTACAACAATCTGAGCCCAGACAGAGAAGGATGGTAGTCGGCATTTACACATGCCGGGTCAGCGATAATCATGGGCCATGAGACCTATAATTCCAGCTGGGTTATTCGCCGGCTTGTATTCGGAACCGTCGAAACATGTCACATTAATATAGAATAGTCTTTTCAGAGTCCCGCTGAGAACAAACCCTGTCGCACATCGCCTGTTTCGGTCGCGTCCACTTCCATGAGGTGATGGCTTGGTCCCTGTCCAAGAAGGTTGGTTTCTGCTCCTCTCGTTAGGCAATTACCAAAGTCCCCAAAGACTCCGCCATGGCAACTTTCGATAGTACTTTGGTCGCGGGTTGGGGATAGTGCGGCAAGGCTCAATTGGCCAGCCCTGTTGCCCAGGGTCGATGTAAAACACGCCTTTTTTCGCCGTCCGGGACCGAATCATGGCCGGCCTTTGGTTACACCAACTAAAATCTTCTTTGATTGAGCGGTGTGTTGGATTAAACGTTGGCGACGTCGGAGCCGCCAGTTAGTGGAAAGATGCCGAGGCCTACGTGTTATGAGATACTTGAGGCCGTGCATCAAGTATGTGTGTGAAAATGTACATCTTAACAGTCGCGGAACCTACCGTGCTACAGGCATTTGGCGAGAGTATTTCATTCGCGGACTCTTGCCCCAATCGCACTACAAATGTGCCATAGGTCCTACCAATGTTTCGGGTTCTTTATCTCGGCATCGATCTTTGAAATGATTTCTATTTGATTCACGCCATTCAAGCCGACTGCCATTGAGTTGATGTCGCCACCTGCCAGACCACTACCGCCTTGAGTGCTAGAGATTGCCATGTATCAGCCCTAAAAGTCGCCATTCCAGGTGTCACTGCCGCTGGAACCGGCTGGGTGCAGTAGCGGCGGTGCCCCTCCAACTTCCCCAACAGTCCACTCAATCTTGCGCGTCCGTCTCCAATGGAGCGGCAGCTGTGTGATGCCAGTAAATGCCCACGAGGGATGGATTTGTGTACCATTGGGTGAAGAAACTGCAGTGCCAATCCATTCACCAACTCTCCCGTCGCCTATTCCGTCGCCACCAAAGCCTCTTCCCGGTCGTTGAGCTTACGCATCTCCAGTTGACCCCCTCAAGTGCCCTCAACAAAAAGCTCCAGCTACTATGACTTCATCGGAGGAGGGGCAGCTTCTGGGCGACCCCGCGCCAGAACTTCTCGAGGGCCGCATCTGGGTCGACGGCTGCTTTGACTTCTTCCATCACGGTATGTCTCGCATCGCCTCTCCTGCTCTCGGCTACAGCTCTCTCCTTGGCCAATTCGCGAGCGCCACCTCTACTGTCTCCTTGAGCTGACTCTACGCGTTGCCCAGGCCATGCCGGTGCCATCGTCCAAGCTCGCCAGCTCGGCGACGAGCTCTACGCCGGCGTTCACTCTGACGAGGCCATCCTCGCCAACAAGGGCCCAACCGTCATGACACTTGACGAGCGGTAAGCAGTAACTCGCCCTCCCCTCCTCTTCTCTCCGTCTCAGCTAACCCCCTGGAAGAATTGCCGCGACCGACGCCTGCCGCTGGGTCACCCGCTCCATCGCCAATGCCCCCTACGTCACCCACCTCGAGTTCATATCCCACTATGGCTGCAAGTACGTCGTCCACGGCGACGACATCACCTCCGACAGCGACGGCAACGACTGCTACCGCTTCGTAAAAGCCGCGGGCCGCTTCAAGGTCGTCAAGCGCTCCCCCGGCATCTCCACCACCGACCTCGTCGGCCGCATGCTGCTCTGCACCAAGACCCATTTCATCCACGACCTCGACCGCGTCCTCGCCGGCGAAGAAGGGGCCGGAGATGCTGACGAGCGCAAGGCGACTGGAAAGGCTATGCTGGATCGCATGCGGCTGTACGCGACCGACGAGACGGCCAAGGCGCCAGGGGTTGACGTCTGGGCCTGGTCGCAGTCCGCCGACGGCAAGGACCAGTTCAAGAATATCATCGCCGGTCCAGGTCTGAGGGCCCACCCGGGGCCTCGCGTCCAGCCTGGAGGACCTCAGACTGGTCAGCGGGTCATCTACGTGGATGGAGGCTTTGATCTCTTCTCGAGCGGCCACATTGAGTTTCTGAGACAGGTCGTGATCACTGAGGAGGAGCACGCGCGGCAGCATGGCTGGTTCGAGCAGGAGTCTATCGACGCCCGCAAGGCCAGCAACAATGGCAAGGATTACTCGCCCACCTTTGTCGTCGTCGGCGTGCACTCCGACGAGGTGATCAACGAGTGGAAGGGAGTCAACTACCCCATCATGAACATCTTTGAGCGCGGTCTCTGTGTTTTGCAGTGCAAGGTGAGTCTTTGTGCATCAACCAACTTCATGCTGGCCCCTTGTGAATTTCCTCGTAATGTGTTGGTGTTGACAGCGAAGCAGTACATCCAAGGCGTCGTCTTTGGCGCTCCATTCACGCCGACCGTCGACTTCCTCACCTCCCTCCCCACGGGCACTCCGGTCGCCGTCTACCACGGCCCGACATCGTTTATGCAGCTGACCTTTGACCCGTACACCGGCCCCAAGTCCTTGGGTATCTACCGAGAGATCGGCAACCACTCTTTCGCGCACGTCAATGCGGGCGAGATCGTGCATCGCATCATGAAGAGCCGGGACATGTACGAGGCCCGCCAACGAGCCAAGGGAGTCAAGTCCGGCGTCGAAGCCGCAGCCAGGGAGCGGGAGATTCTGGAAGAGGAGCAGCGAAAGAAGGAGGCCGAGAGAAGGTAACGGCAATTGCTCAAAGGCATGCATGGAGCCTCTATGTTTGAGGGAAGGTCTTCAACAGGCCAATCTAGATGATTACTGTTTTTCTCTTTCGTTGATTCTCTCAAAAAGTTTCGCCGCAGCTTAGCCCTGCTTTCTGTAGCATTGATGATGTTGGACGCTGGGTTCTGTAGCCACTTCGGCGTATTTTTAATCTTTGGCGATCGCATAGCACGCAAAAATTTTATATTTAGCTAAAATGAAGCTTCAATATAGAAATGATTTATTTTCTATCACTCAATATCTCCAAATCACCGCATGATGAAAGAGACGTTTCTCTTGTTTGATCAGACGAAACAATGCAACTACACACACACCTACTTGTGTTTACTCCATGCAATTTAGTGGACAGCGCGCCTTCGAGTTTTTCCAACCATGTTTGTCCAGCGTCTTTCTCTCCTTGCTTCAGCGCAGAGTACCTTATAATCAATTGACAATTGATGGCTCAAATCAACTGAATAATTGCCGAATACATGCCTGATGGACGACAAGTATTCTTTGTTCGCCGAGCTGGGGTGTCTAGGGTAGGCGCAGTCTCAAGCCACACCAACGATATCGGCCTCTCCCTGTTGCCAGCCGAGTTATTCCCAGCCCAGATTCTAGAAAAGGGAAAATTAGGAACATGCAGGGGTAAACGCTTATCGATCTTGGCACCGACCGGCTGCCGGAAAGTAGACTTTTTGTCGCCAGGCCGTCCACTACACTCAAGTAATCCGACGATAACCACCACGGGATGGCAACTGATGGGACGTCGAATCGAGAATCACGGTACGTACGAGTATGCTGGAAAACAACACGCTAGCTAAGTGTTGTTAAATCTTAATGAATTGAGGATATCGAATGGGCAACGCGAGTCCCTGCCTTAGTGTGACCCACGAACCCAGCCCTCGGACTCATGACGGTATTAGTCACTGGTCCGATTGTCGCCCGCCCTTTACTCCCTTTGACTTTTTACAATCTCGTGCAGTAGGGCGCGATATTGATTAACGGCCGCATGTTGCCGTATAAAAGCGCGATGGCGGCAGGCCATACTCTCCACCTCCAATTGGACTCGACACACGCGATCTGTGACCTTAGGGAAAGAACCAGAATCCTAGATAGACTCTTTCTCTCTTTGCTTGAGCTGATCAACCCCGTGCCGCGTCATCCCGAGCTTGAACCCACCATTGGTGTCTTTGTTTCCAAAAAAAACTTGCTTCAAGGCGTAGTGTAGCCAGCCTCGGCCATCCCACAGTCAAGTTTTGACGCTGCCAACATGTCACCTTCAGCAACCTTTCAGGAGGCCAACGGAGCCGTGGCCAAGAAGGAAGCCAATGGACATCAGCCAGCGCCTCTAGATGCCTCCAAGCTCACTTACACCCTCACCACCTCGCCACGGGATGTACCCGAGTTCGATGCCGCCGTCGCCTCGTCAGAGACCATCTGCACTGACCACATGATCACGGCTACATGGAAGGCAGACGCGGGCTGGTCGGCGCCTGAGCTGAGACCGTACGGCCCTCTGTCCCTCATGCCCACCGCGTCGTGCCTCCATTACGCCACCGAGTGCTTCGAGGGCCTCAAGGTCTACCGAGGATTCGATGGCGGCCTCCGCATGTTCCGCCCGGACTGCAACGCCGCACGCTTCCGCGTCTCTGCCGCCCGTATCGCCCTGCCGGACTTCGAGGCTGACGAGGTCGTCAAGCTGATGACCAGCCTCCTCTCCGTCGACGGGGCCAAGTGGCTCCCCCGCGAGCGCCCGGGGAGCTTCCTCTACATCCGCCCTACCCTCATCGGCACGCAGCCTCAGCTTGGCGTGGGCGCGGCCAGAGAGGCGATGATGTACATCATTGTCAACTTCATGCCCCGCCTGGACAACCCGCCCGGTGGAATGCGCCTACTCACCTCGCCAGACGATATGGTCCGAGCCTGGGTCGGCGGTTTCGGGTATGCTAAGCTCGGTGCCAACTATGGACCCTCGCTGGTGGCCAACTCGGAGGCTCGTCGGTTGGGCTATCATCAGATTCTCTGGCTGTACGGCCCAGATCTTGAGTGCACCGAGGCCGGTGCTAGCAACTTCTTTGTCCTGTGGAAGACCAAGGATGGTCGCAAGGAGCTGATCACCGCTCCTCTTGATGACAAGCTGATTCTCGACGGCGTGACGAGGAGAAGCGTTCTCCAGCTCGTCCGTGAGCGGTTGACCGATGAGCTCGTCATCACCGAGCGCAAGTATTCCATTGCTGAGGTCCTGGAGGCGTCTTCTGAGGGACGAATTCTCGAGGCCTTTGCTGCCGGCACTGCTGTAAGTAAACACCCTTCTAACCGTCGCGCTCTTCTCGTCTTTTAAATTGGGGAAACATTGACCGTCTGACTTGATGTAGTTCTTTATTGCTGCTGTGTCCCAGATCCACCACCGCGGCAAAGATATCAACATTCCCATGGGACCTGATGCTCAACCGGCCGAGATCACAAACAAGGTCAAGACGTGGTTGGCGGACATCACCTACGGGCGAACTCAGCATGAGTGGGGAGTCGTGATCCCCGAGAAGGAGTGATGCTAGGGTACACTTGAGATATAGAACATAAAAGTTAGCACAAAGCGTAGTGGCGCGATCCCATCTCCGACTTTGGCGGGACGATATTGCATCTGGTGGCGTTGTAGCGGAATGTCATTTGATCAAAGTAGGGAGGATTTGGACTGGCAAGAAATGAGACCCAGGTATTATTAGTAGAATTTGTCAAGATAGAACAAAATGAAACATCATGTATGGGAATGTATGCCCACATTTCCGTCCTCTGGTACCGAACAGCCGTATGATCGCAAATGTGTGTAGATCGCAGAGATTGCAAGGTAGGTTAGGGTGCCGCATCCTGACTTTGACATCTTTCCCGAGAAAACATTGCGCCGTGTTAAATTGAATTGCCCATCACTCCTCCATGAAGTGTCGCATCATCTGATCCGTCTCTGCTTTGATAAGTTTCTTGTATTTCTATGACTTGTCAGATCATCATCGCTTAATTTATGTGCTTAATTTCGACTTACGTTCTCCAGGCCGTCGACAAGCTTCATCTTGGAGTCGCCAATCTCTTGAGCTTCTTTGCGGAAAGACTCAAACAGTAGCTTATTTCCGTTGTGCTCTTCACTTTCGTGATCTGACTCGGAGGGTCCTTCCTCCAGCTTCCTCCAATACTCCCTCTCGTCCTCGACACATCGATCCTATTCCTGCCCGAGGATCTGGAGCCTCTCTTCTGCCGCCTTGACATGCTGCTCCAGGTTCGCTAGATGTTTCTCTATGGTTGCTTTGGGGATCTGGCCGCTAGAGCAGAGAGTCGAGGACAATGGCCAAGAAATACTATCGTAGAGCGCATGCTGCTGGTCGAGAGTCTTTGATACTTTGTCACCAAAGGTAGACATTTTTTTCATGACCTGACTCCGAGCCTGGGCTAGGTTCTCCAAAGCGGAAGCATGGAGATCTACGCCAGCCTGCGTAAAAGCCTCTGCAATCCAACGCTTGTAAGCGACAATTCGTACATAAACCGGCATCCCTCACCTTACCGGTAAATTGCTTTGCCAATCCATCGTCACTTGGCGACGCCACCTTTTCCTTCATACGCGTAGGGAGACGATTGGCGGTCGCAGAAGGAGGGCTCGGTTCCAGGGCAAAGCAGGCGCCGAGCTGTTCGTACACATTGAAGAAAGGGTCGGGGCGCTCGACACGCTGCTTTTTCTGGGGGCGAGTTGGGGTGTCGTCGGGGCTACGAAGACGATCACGGAAGCTGGTGACATTTTCAAACCGCTCCGTCGAGGGGTGTGATGGTGGGCTTTGGTACCCTTGAAGACGCTTGCGGGTGGTACGAAAATGGCCGCTCATTGTGACGAGCCAAATGAATACAAAATGTGCACCAGCGGCTCAGTGGTAGAAATCGTCCAGAAGGTGAACGAGGATCGACCAATTCTCCAATGGGATATTTCCATCAGGCACCTTGAGGGAAATAGAAGATGCCTGAGGTATCATCAAGACTGCAGAGTCTGAGGAAGGTGCGGCGAGTCGCATGCTTCGTCGTGGAAGGAAGGCGCGACGTACCCTGAGGCACAGCCAAGTCTGCTTCGCTATCTGCTCATTTTATCAGGAAGAGCGCTGAGAAAAGCTTCGTTCGTGGCCCTATCTTATCGTGTAACAAGGATAAACCTTCGTTGTCGCCGTATTTTGAATTTGGCGATGTGTAAACATCAGACAAGCAATGACGGGATCAAAGCTGCCCTACGCTGAGCCCTCTCACAGTCGGCGTATTACCAGTGGTGCTCGGCTATTGGTGGACGGCACAGCCAAACAGCGTAGTGGATTGGCCCCGGGTCCTCCCTAGAGGCCACTCCACCGCCAGTAGCGCATTGCATCACTGGGCGCGAACTCGGCCTGGAGTTGATTATTCATTCAGTCCCTCAGTCGGGTTTTTCTCTCTCGGTAATCAACCTCCCACAAGCTGCCCGCCTGCCTGCCTCCCCGGATCAGTCGCCAGCCATGTTCGCACGAACAATCGTCTCCGTATGTATCTTCCAGCCCGCCCTGTCTATTCAATCTCCTGCCACCCCAATTCGATCCAGCCCTGGAAGTTAGTTAACCTCCTCGATCAGGGCCTGCGCCGGCAAGCTCTCCGCCCAGCAACCACCAAGGCTGCCTCATTCCCCGCCACAGCCTCTCCCTTCCGACCACAGCCCTTCCTGAGCGCCTTCCAGGCCCGCCTCCTCTCCGACGAGACTCGCTCCGCCATCGACAAGGCCGTCGCCTCCGCCCCCGTCGTCCTCTTCATGAAGGGCACCCCCGAGACCCCGGCGTGCGGCTTCTCCCGCGCCGCCATCCAGATCCTCGGCTTGCAGGGCGTCGACCCCAACGCCTTCGCCGCCTTCAACGTCCTCGAGGACGCCGAGCTGCGTGCCGGAATCAAGGAGTACTCTGACTGGCCCACCATCCCCCAGCTCTACGTCG